CCAGATCTCCACCACAAACCCTAAATTTCCCAACATTAAGCACTAAAAGTAAAAGGTTTAACAGAAATTTAATATTATAAATTTTTGGAACAACGTTATCAAATAGCTATTACTTTTTACCATAAAACATCAATATTAACATCATCACAACACACTTATCATATTTTATATCATTAAATAATTGAAACAAGTCATCAAATTAACCGATGTTTTATGCAAACATTTCATGAGACGATATAACTTGTATGTTTATTAGGGACGATTATTTTGATCCGATAGAACTATACCGGAACGGAAAAAAACCTGGAACCAAAACCAACCAAGATATTCGGTCTACTTATCAGTTCTAAATTTCTCACTAAATCGATTTCCGATTATTCTGTTCTCGATCCGGTTTAGACCGGTCCAGAAGCAAACACATCCCTAAAAACACACTTTTTGTAGGAAAGAATCGGAACCGGGATATTTCGTATGATTCTCCATTTTCCACTAGAACGGTTTGCGGTTCTTCGGTTCTCAGTCTGGGTCTGGACCTAATGCTATATTTACACTTATGTGCATATTTGGCATGAAGCGTTTGAGAGCTTCGACTTTCTAGCGTTTGATAAAACGTTCCGTTTTAAACAAAAACATCGTTTACACTACAAACTTTTAGCGTTTCGTTTAAACAAAACGCACCAAATCTAAAAGCTACATCACGTAGTTTTTAAGAAAATGCTACCAGCTACAGGTTACCTACTATAAGTTATCAGTTTTCACCTACACGCTATCTGTTATCACTTATCAGTTAGTTTTACTAAACACAATGTGTTTTTGTTTTCACATTCTACCCATGTTAAAGGTGAAATCTAAATTTTTGATTGTCTTTCTTATATTTTTTTGAAAATTTGACTCAACAAAAATCAAAATGGTAAAGAATTGTTATCAACGGTTAGTCCCCTCCAACTGTTAACAAGATCCTGGTAGCGTTATCTCTCCTCCACCTCAATTTCTGCTGTGTCTTCGTTGCTCTAAAATGGCTATGGCTTCCTCATTCTCGCCTTCCTCTTCGTACCTTTACTCCCGTAATCACAACCATCATCTCACTCCCTCTGCTCCTTTCTCTCTCTTCCCCTCTCGCATCCTTTTCAATTTGTCTCAAACTCTATCTTCCCCCAATAAGCTTGCAGTGAATTCAATCAAGTGCAGCAGCAACGAAGCTTCTTCTACACCAGTAACTGCTCGAAAGCTTGGGGTATCAGTTTACAAGCCCAAATCGTACGAAGTTCTTGTTACCGACGCCGCTAACTCCCTCGCTTGCGCTCTCGACGATGGCAAAACTCGCCTTGAAATCGATTTTCCGTAATTCTCTTAACTTTAGCATCCAATGAATATTTTCTTCCTGTTTGTACCTTTTCGTTAAACTCATTGTTGCTTCAGATTGTAATTTTAGCGAGAACTTAGTGAAAGGCTGAATGTTCCTCATTGCACGATTCTGGTTGTTTAGCGATCGGTTTTTTTTGGTCCCAAATATGCCATTAGTACGCTTCACATGTTAGAACAACGTAATTGGGGATAAAATGTGGAATTGTAATTGCAGTTCGCCATTAATTGTTGAAAATCACTCATCAAGGGTAGAGTTTAATCACTCTCTATTCATCCGTTGCAACATCTTCTAAACAATCATATTAATCCAAAATTTGGATCATTTTTGGAAAGTAATTGAATATAACCATTATACATTGTTTGATTACTCCCTGTTCAATTTTCTTAATTTTGATAAAACTGCTGCTTACGTTTGTTACTTGATGGCATTAACAGGCCATTGCCAACCAGCATTTCTTCATATAAGGTATCTTCATAGCCTCTTCATGCTTTCTTGCTGGTTCTGTAAAGCTTTTCCTTTGTTAGTAAAAAGCTTCCCCTATATGACATTATGAAGGGATCTTCAGATGAGTTTAGTGATGCCAATGTACAACTTGCCTTGGCTGTTGTTAGGAAGCTTAAAGAGAAAAGGGAAACACGAGCTTGCGTTGTAAGTCTACACTTACTTTTTAGGGCTAAATGTAAGAAATAGCAAAGTAATTTTATTTATTTGTTTGTTACAGCACCCAATTATAGCAATGTCTACTTTAAAGTATCTACCCAATAATACCATTTTGCTTTCATTTTTTTTTATTGGGACATGGTACTTTGAAAAAAACTAATTGCTTTATATTTAAATGACATTGCTGTAACAAACAGATAAATGAACATACTTTATCATTTAACCTTATTTCGTATTCAATGAATTATCTTGATTAAGACATGTTTATGTTAAACTTATTGTTTGATGTAGGTGTTTCCTGATAATCCAGAAAAACGAAGAGCCTCCGAGCTGTTCAAATCAGCTATTGATTTGGTAACTTAGTTAGCTAATTTAGAACTAATTTCTCTAATATGTAAATTGTTTCATATTAATATAAAAATTTATGTATGGATCACTTGTTGCATCTATTTGATGAGAAAAACAGTTTCTTGTAATCCAATATTTGTGGTTTTCTTCCAGATTGATGAGATCACTATTGGTTCCTTGGATGATATTCCCACTGGTCCTGTTGGTTCTGTCTTCAGATCTATAAGGAACACTCTTGATTTTGATTTTGATGATGACAATCAAGGTTAGCCTTTTTTTTAATAGTTGTAATCATTTTAAGTAACAAGTATATAACAGAATCACAAGTTTTGACTGGATTCTTGTTTTCATAATTGTCTCCTTTTATGAAACACAGAAAGGTGGCTGTCTGACAAGCCACCAACACTTTTTGTATTCATCAGTTGCAGCACCCGTGAACTTGCTACCATTGAGAAATATCTGGTAGGATGTATTTCTGTTTCTTATTGACTTAATAAACAAACTTAATGAAGGAAATCACATATCTTACAATCAGGGGATCTTGATCTTTTACTTATTTAGTTTCCTTTTTTTTTTTTATCTTCCATCAATTACTGAAGTTTCTTTTTCTTGTTCATTTCTTTCATGCAACATGCAGGAAAAGTTTGGTGGATCAACACCCGCCCTCCTATTTAATCTGGAGCTTGAAACTTTGCGGTAATTCCGTTTATACCCTTTAAATTCAGATGGAATTCATATTTGTTGTGAAAAACCTTACTTTTTGTTTGACAAATAAAACTATTGAAATCACAGAGCTGACCTTGGCCTTGTTGGTTTTCCACCTAAGGATTTACACTACCGATTTCTTTCTCAGTTTGTTCCTGTCTTTTATATTCGAATAAGAGAGTATTCCAAGGTACCTCTCTCTCTCTCTCTCTCTCTCTCTCTCTCTCTCTCTCTCTCATGCTTTTGTATTTATTAAATTTTACTTTATTTTTATTATCTTTTTACTTTAAAATGCAAGACAGTGGCAGTACCACCATACATTGTTAATTACGATGGTGCCCTCTTCCGCCAATACCCAGGTAACAATTGTGATATAAGTTAACTTGAATTTCTGTTTTCCTCCCTTAGGGAAAATTTGTAAAAATTTAGGGCTTAACCTTTCCCTCACTTTATCTGTTAATCGTTCTTTTTTCTTTATGTCAAAAAAGAAGCATCCATATATCGTTTACCTATGAGGCTGTTTCTTTTTTTTTCCCCATTGAGTCCTTTATGGGTAAAGTGACTGAATAGGTAATGATGTTTTTCACAATATTCACCGGTTTTAGCATGAGAGGACTTGGGAGGAAAAAAGAATGGCAGGTAGTTAAAGGGTTAGTGTCTTAATACATTAAGCCACATTTTTTTTTGGCTTAACCCACTAAGTCATTCAGTCCGGATTGAGCAAAAAGAAATAAACATATATAGCTGTGGAGATTAAGTGCTTAATCTATTAAGCTCATTAAATAAAAAAGTAACAGCCTCATGTCCTCATTAAGTCCATTAATAAAAAAAAAAAAAAAAAGAGTGCTTAAAAGCTTGTTGATAATGCAGGACCCTGGCAGGTGATGCTTAAGCAATCGGATAATTCGTATGCTTGTGTTGCAGAAAGCGAAACGCGCTTCACGCTTAATGAAGTAAATTTCCGTTATTACCCTTTTTCTGTTTTGAGTATAAATAAAATAAAATATGTTTCTGAGTTTTGAGAGATTTGTTTGGCATGTTTACTTTAGACCAAGGAAGAATTACTGAGGGTCCTTGGACTCAAGGAAGAACAAGGAAGCCAACTTGAGTTCCTTCGTCGTGGTTACAGGGTTTGCTTCTTTTCGTACTAATTTCTTTCATTTAATTTCTTTCTTTGCATGAAATTTTAAAAAATTCTTCAATGTTTTCGGCCAAATTATATAAAAAACACTATATCTATATGGTTTGTTATTTTTTTCAGTTTAACCATAAAAACTTTTGCATTTTTCAAAAAACAAACTGCCCCTACCTGGTATGGTATCAAACCATAATCCAATTCTTGTGATGGTTTAACCAAAAAGTGTGATACTTTATAAAATTTGCCCATGTTTCGCTAGGTTAAATTACTTATTTGTTCGGTATCATTGTTACATATAATTTGTGGTAATGGACAAGATACATTTGTTTTTGTTTGAGGGTATAGTAATTATTAGACATTTGACAAATAGTTCTTGGGTTACAACTTACAAATGCATTGATGTGGTTACAGAAAGCAACGTGGTGGGAGGAAGACGTGGATTTGGAGTTATCTTCCGCATGGCGTACCTGAGACTCTGAGAGTGAGTTAACCCCCCCATACAAACATCAAGAGATGTGGTGGGGATGGGGTACCATAATTTATTCACATATGTATATCATAAGTACACAATTTTCCTGTTTATATTATTTTCTGCTTTCATTTTTGTCACCGTGTCCCAGTATTGGCCACAGTTAGGAGCAAATAATCTCTTTCATAGTCCGTGTAACGTTTAACAACGTTTTTCCCCTGGGGGTCGGCTATAACCTATATCACATCAAAAATTCAAAACAGCTACAACATCCGTTCATAATTCACAACTTATTAATAAATGTAAATTTCCATCTACAAATCACCAAAATCCGGCTCGGAAGGCTTTTGAAGACTAATAAACCCGGTCGACACTCCCCGCTTCCTCTGAACCCGTTTCATAGCATTAGCCGCAAACTTGGACGCATACATCGTCGCACCAAACGACGACGACGACGACACCCGCCCTCTAATCAACGCAGTTTCTTCATTAACATCCTCTTCAACCTCCTCCTCCTCTTCCTCCTCCTCATAATCATCCATATAATCCTCATCCGATTCTTCCTCCTCCAACCGATGCAATTCCAAAATCTTCCTTCTGGAATACCTCCTCCACGCCGCCTGAATAAAACTCGCCGCCCATGTCCGCCACTGCTGTGAATAAAACCGGAAAGTATGCTGAACTTGCCGACTATGAAGCCGCCTAAACTGACTCGTTATAAACTTCACCTCGTCTGCGATCAACGCAAACGCTTCCACCTCCGTTAACGCCATAACCGTTCGTGTTGACGGCGGTAGGTTACCCGCCGATTTCGGATCCAACGCCCACGTCAACAGCTCTTCCCCGCAAAAATCGCCTTCTTTCAAAAACCCCCGGTTGAAAAAACCGCTTCTCCCGCCGTCTGTCGTGACGCTTTCTAAACGCCCCCGGATTATGAACAACATTTCGTCGACCGGGTCGCCTTCCCTTAACACAAACGTGCTTTCTGTGTAAAGACTTGGTTTAAGTCTCTCGCATATGGCGTCTAGTAATCTTTCGTCAAAATTTGCAAACAATGGAACCTGCAACAGTTAGGCTTTTAAGTTTTCAGTCATGGAAGTTAGATTAATTACAGTAACATACCCTTTTGACTAGATTTAAACAGAGGTGTCTTTTGATGTCCCTTCTGAGATCTTTTGGTAGACTTTGGACTAAGCTTTCTTCATCTACTCCTCTTGTTTCCACCCATTTGTACTGATCGTATCTTCGCACTCGTTCTTTAAGCTCTTGAGGAAGCAATCTATGATGCATCCACTGTTCAGAGTCACGCCTTTTGATTCTCATCTCCTCTAAACGAACCGAAAGCGATTGAAGATACGTCTGTTCAAAAACCAAAACATAAAAAACCCATTCCACGTGGCACAATATTATTATTGGGCTAATTGTTACCTGCATGTTGCCGATGAGAAGAGCAAAGAGTATGAGCCCAGAAATGGCGATTATGATTGAGAAAATAATTTCTTTAGCATATGTACTGGTTTCAAGCCCCTGACCGAGTGTACTGTTGTATGGAATTGAACAAATGTTTAGAGAAGTAATCAATTGTTAGGTAGGTTTTAAAAGAAATGGACTTGCCTTAAGTTTCTTAAGCCCCACCACAAACAGTAGCAGTATTTAGATGGAAAATGTTCAGAGGAATCAACTTGAGATTGTACAGCTTGTAAGTAAATCCCATAATCAAATTCTCCATAGGATTCACTTTCAACGCAATGTTCATCAAGAGTGGCTTTAGCAACTTGCATCCAAGCTTTGTATCCTTCTGTCTCGTCATGTCCACAGTAAAGATATTCTATCTCACATTTACTCTCATCACGACATGCTTGCGCCCAGCATGCACTCTTACGTTCCACAGCTAACAGATACCAGAAAGCTCCAAATATCTGTTCACATCACTTCAAATCAGATAAACTTTTTTTCATGCATAATTTATGATGAAACCGATGGATATGTATATATATATGTGTGTGTTATTGAATTCCAAAAGTAATAGGCTTTACCCCAAATTAAGTGAAAAAGAAAGAAAGAGCATTTACATGACCAGCAAGAACAAACCAAACCAAATAGTAAGCTGCACCAGCCCAAGCTGTTTCAGTAATGACACCCACAGTTTTTTTGAGCTCTGAAAACAATGGTAGAATACGAAGAGATCTAGGAATATATTGCACAATCACATCCACAGTAAAATCTTTTTTGTACCCAAAACACCCGAACCATGATCATTCTGAAGAAACCTCCACACCACAATCTGAAATAAATAAAAAAATAAAAAAACATAAGATAACTAAATAAAAAAGACCACTGATTTTTTTGTAAACGAAAATGAATTCTTCAACCTGTGGTAAAGGTAGCACAGAGAGAATGTCAACAAAGAAATAGCGTTGCATATATCTTCTTGCAATCTGTGCAGGATCTATGACAAGTTCACCACGTCCAAACACTCTTGATGATGGTGCTATATAAGCTGTACGAAACTGGAGACCAATGCGTACAAGGTAGAAAATATCGACTATGGTTCTCACAGTTGTAATGGAGTGTGCTAAACTTCTATGTATTTTTAAGCAACTTTCCGTATTATGATAAACGGGAATATAGAAAAATAAAGGATCCACATATACTGCAAGAATGCAAGATAACACCAGAAACTTTGTTCCATAACAAAAGTGTTTTGTCTTGAGGATCGATTATTTTGTTCTCAGAGACTTTTAGATCTTCTGAAAACACTGCACGTGAGACTCCGGTTTTTAAAGTTTGGCCAAAATTTATAAGTCCTTCAGACCTTCTTCTCACGTACTTAATTGATTTAGATGCAGTGGTACGTGGATGACCAGAAGGGGGTGCTCCTTCTATATTGAATCCACACCTCTTCATTATATTAGATGGATATGACAAACTCGAATCCAGAACATTCAACCTAAATTAAAACATTGAAGAATCAAATTGTTACGTGACAGATTATCTGATTATGTTTCAGTAATTAATTTGTACCTTACGAATCTTTCTTCTTGACCACCTATGTATATTGTGGTGTGACAATTGTCAAACATTTTGGGAAGTGAATGGGGGAGGAAGAAAGGCGAATCATGACAGTGATTGTAACAACAAGCCTTTTAAGATCTTTTAACTGCCAATGGTACCACTGTGATATCTCTGGTAGTCTGGTTAACTGGAGTTGAATTGGATCTGGTACCATGAATGCTAAGGCCACACGATGAACACCAGAATTACAAACACGATTAGCTCCAGATGTGTTACTCTGTTCAGCAACTGATCACCAATCCAGACATGTAGGGGATCATGTATGCATATTACTCACTCTGTATTGTCATCAAATCATCAAATGAAATTTTATGTCATCAGTTACAGAAATAGGATCATCTTGCATCAGCCAATCAAAGCAAACATAAACACAAATTATGTAGCTGAGAAGATCATATTAGGAAAGAAAGTTTTGGATGCATGTGATCAAACAATATATTGTTGTATGATGTGAATCTGGAGACTCTGCTAGAAAATCATCTCATTTGTATGATTGAAATTATAAAATGAAATCTCGAGCAACTGATGTTTTTTTAGTATGATTTTTGAAAATGAAGGTAGCAATCTAAACATCTGAAATACGCAAAAATAAACATCTCCAGATTCATTTCACAGCTCAACGAAGAAAAATCAAACACGAAAAAACAATATCTGGCATGCGCACAAACTGAAATAACATTTCGAATATGAGGGGTAGCAATTTGGACATTCAAATAAAGCACAACAAAAATCTCCAGATTCAGAAAATTAAACACGAATAAGCAGTATCTGCCACAATGAAAGAAGATTTCAGATCAAATTGACGAAACCTACTTACCTTAAAATTCTTCAATTTTTTCAATCTATCAGATCCTGTTCCAAGAAGATCAAAATCGAAGAAACAAAACGGAAAACTAGCCTAGTTTCGCACGAGCGAGATACTGATGAGAACCTAATTTGGGAGTGATTTTGGCGCGAAAAAAAAGGGAAATGACCGATAAAATCAGGAGGTGTTTCTGGTACACATTGATCGTTGAAAACGGTTAGCCATTGCTCATATTCCTTGTCGCGGGAAGCACCTTGAAGTTTACACCACTTTACAGAAAGCCACCAAAACATAGTAATTGTTGCAATTCACCTCCATTTTTTTTCTCTTGATTATTATTGGAAATAAGTGTTCCCTTAATTACAAGCCTCGAGACCATTCTTTTCAATGTACATCTACGATGAATATTTGAATTTAAGAATCTCAAATTATATTAAATAAGTTTCGGACTATTCAAAAAGTTAACTAAACAATTTGTTGCATTTATTGTACGAAACACATGTTCTTACAAGTGGCGGTCCTGAGGGTGCGAGTGGTGCAGTCGCATGGTACCTCCGATTTTAAAAGGCCTCTGAAATTAGGGAAAATATATAGCAATGATGTTGGTATTTTTATAAAATATATTTTTATATGTTACTATTAAAGAAACTTAGCAGCTAACTATATACACAATGTAACATTTGGTTGTAATCTTAAAGTAATTTTAATTGTAAAAAAAATCAACAAAAATAAAAAAATCAAAATTTTATCATAAATTCTATATTTATCAAAAATTTAAGAAAAGTATCTATATAAAAATAAATATATGTTTATAGTATAAGTTCAAGAAAATGTTATAGGTTTTATAAAACTCACCAAAAGATAAAACCCTAACAAACCTAATAACAATACAAGTAGATTGTCGGTGTTGCTCGTCTCTCTTTAAATTTTCCAAATCCCACCGGTGCTTAGCTTCTTTCTCTCCCAGGCTAAATGCCCATTTCTTGAATGATTTATTTATAAATTCATAATGAAGTTAAAGAATAATAAAATAGAGAAAGTAAAAAAACAATGTTCTTGTTTTTCCTTACATATAGTATATTGTCTTGTGAATTATGTTTATCACTCTATCACTTAGTTTTATAGCTTTAGTTTTTCAGTGTTTGGTATAGAGGGGTTAGAATAGAGCATTAGCAAATTTTAGGGTGGGGGTGGGAGAGGGCAGCAATGGACTTCCCATTTTTTTGGCTTTTAATATTAATATAATATAATACTATGAATATGTCGTTCGTGCTCTCCTTCTTTCTGTTAGCCATCTAGACGGTAAATGTTTTGGTTAGAGGTTGGGATTTACATTTGATTAGATGTTTGAATGCATGACTAACAAAACTCCTCTCCGCACCAGAATCGAAGAGAATGCATGCATAAGAGTTGTCAAGGAGGAACGTACCCGTAACAACGGTAGGATCAGCGACTGCTTCCTCTTGGCCCATCGCCAGCACTCTTCTTGTATTGCCACCAGTTGTTGCCTTGGGGCAGTTTCTCCTGAAGTGCCCAACCTCTCCACAGCCATAGCAGGCTTGACCAGCACCCGCCCTAGGAGCCTGGTTGGTTGGTTGAACAGGTGTCTTGCAGTATCGAGCCGTGTGTCCCTTCTTTCCATAATTGTTGCATTTCAATTCACGGCAGGGTCCGTGATGATGAAAGTTACACTTGTTGCACAGAGGTAGGTTTCCAGCATAGCCACCGGTAGGAGCTTGGGTGGTTGGAACAGTAGTAGGAGCAGCAGTAGGAGTAGTAGCAGTGTGGACTGCTACTGTTTGTTGCTTATTGGAGGGTTCCTGAGGAGACTGGCCCTTGCGTTTGTTCTAAAATCTCTTCTTCTTCTCGCCACTCTCCTTCTGTGGCTCGGCGACCGCTGATGCCTCATCCAGATCGATCCCATGGTCGATCAGAGTCCGTTCCAGATCCTTGGCGCTCTCAAACGTGGCCGGTCTAGCAGCAAGACATTTCCTTTGGTTGGTTGTGTCAGTCCCCAGATGTACCTCTCGATTTTCTTGCTTTCCGGGGTGACCATTCCCGGATAGAGGAGAGCCAGATCACAGAATCTAGCGGTGTAGGCAGCGATGTCGGAACCCTTCATCTTCAAGTTCCAGAGTTCGTGTTCCAACTTCTGCACTTCGCCCCTCGGGCAGTACTCCGCAAGCATGAGCTCCTTCAGTCTTTCCCAACCCATGGCATTAGCCACTGGCAGGGTTAGGGTTTTGACTCGACCATTCCACCAGGTCAAGGCTCTGTCGGTGAAGGTGCAGGCGGCGAACTTCACCTTGTTGGCTTCGGAACAGACGCAAATTTCGAAGATGGATTCAATCTTCTCGAACCATCGAGTTAGAGCGATAACACCTCCATTTCCGTCGAAGGGCTTGGGTTTTGTGGTCATGAAGTCCTTGTAGGAACACTCCTTTTGATGTCCCTGACTTCCATCTTGCCATTGGGGGTCGGTTCCACCTCCAGCCCCACCAGAGTTTACTTGTGCCATTGTTGCGGTTACGGCGGCGGTAACTGCTGCCTGGAACATGACGGGATCGAACTGAGGGGGTGGTGGTGGTGGTGGGGTGTCGTCATTTCTTCTGATGGGTCTTGGTCGGGGAGGCATCTTGTTCTAGAAACAATCAGGAAGAAGAGGATGGTAAGTCCTCGAGATATATATATATATATATATATATATATATATATATATAACAAGATATATCTCATCCTGATAATAAAAGTATACTACCGAGCGATAAGCACAGAAAGGTTACTAACACAAGTAAGTTAGCGCTTAAGGGGAAAGTGGTATCAACACTTGGAATGAATCTGTATACTGAATTTGGCTCTAGCTAAAATACTCCTATAGTATTTTATGTCGGATGTTTTTGTTCTTGGTAAGTTTTAGGCTTGCTGTAACACCACAGTCACTCCCAAGCACATGTTGGTCATGTATCGAATGAATATAGTTGATCAGGCTATATTGACCTTAGACATGATTACATAACTGCCCAGGCTTAACCGCAGCGTCCCAACATCCAAATACTTTTGTTTCGTTCTATCTATGACTCTGGTTCTGTTATGTATGCATACTAGTATACTTGTTACAAAATACTTTATATTTCGAAAATATACTTTTAGTTTAGAGCACTTAGGCCCCTTAGTGTTTATAGTTGTATACCACGTAAGGTTCGGTATACTAGTTCGCTATAAACAAGGGCTCTGATACCAATCTGTCACACCCCGAAAACCGAAATGGCGGAAACGTTATGGGGTGGAGGAGGTCATGTATAGCATCACAACCAATGAATAATAGCAATCATAGCAACACAACCATTACAATGAATATTAAAGTAAAAATGTTTACATCAATTTGGAATTTGTCTGAAACTTGTTTGAATTACATCAGATAAGTTGTATGAATATAAGCATAAAACTCTTATTGCTCCAACTCCTCAAAAATCCAGCAGGTACCTGTCTACTGATTTCCTGAGAATACAAGCATTTTGAAAGAATATCAGCATAAAGCTGGTGAGTTCATAAGCGGTAGTAAGCGGTAGTTTGTAATGAAAACTTGTTGATGAGCTTGTAAAAGTGTTTGTATAGTTTCAAGAAAATCCGATATTTTCTTTAATGAGAATGTAGTGTTTTCAATTATGTATAAAACCATGAATGTTTGTTACTGAAAACTGTAGTGATGTGCGAAAATAATACTTCGTGTGACTAGCTAATGCTAATCATGATGTATAAGTATTTCGTACGTGAAACCATTGTATGTTCAGTTCTGTTTGAAAACCCTGAAAGTTCTCCAGTTGTAGTGTGTATTAGTTCTATTTAGTATAAATAAAACTGTTGAAGAGTGCCAGGTTGTAAACTAAAGGTGATTTATACATAATGTGCGTCGTATAACCATACTTGATATGACTAGAGACCTTTCCAACGTTCTTCAGGCGTCGAGTTAAATGACATTTGTACACCCCAGGCGTGCCCGCCTAACTGTAGTTGTGACAACCCGGAAACTTCAATCTTGTACCCTTAGTCAATTCAATCAATATTCAACTTGTTTTTCTGATTTCTGGAGCTAATTAAGGGTTCGTTTAAGTGTTCTAAGCTTGTATATAACCAAGGTTGAGTTTAGGAATGAGTCAGAGTGTTGAATAGTGAGAAAATCGGGCCATACACACCTCTTGGAGGAGTGTACGGCCGTACACATGGGTGTGCAGCCGCACACCCACTCCCTGGCAGCACACACTCTTTTGGGCAGCACCCTCACTCCTATATAAAGGGTAGACCCCTTTCCTTTCATTCCTTTAACACCTTGGCAGCACACAACACCATTTCTCTCAAGCTTCTTCAACCACAAACCCTCCCAAGGCTTCAAAAACGTGAGTAATCCATCCCTTAACTTGTTGTGCATGAAGAACCTCTTGATCTAGGCCTTGAATCATGAAAGTCCCGTCATGTTCTTCATCTCTTTGAAGGAGTGCGGCAGCACACTCCTGTGTGCGGCCATACACACACACCATAGGACCACAAACCCATTTCTAAGACCCAAAACTTGTACTACAACCAAGTATGAGCGTAGGACACTTCATGGATGCAAGTATGGACCTTGAAAACACCTCAAAGGCACCTTTCCATCATGAGTGTACGGCCGCACACCCATTGGGCCGCACACCAATGGCCGTACACACCTTTAAGGTGGCCATACACCTCCCTCATGCAATCCTTTGAGGTCCTAACACTTAGTGCAAGTAGTCCCAAGTTCTTGGAGTGGTTCTTCATCACATCTAGTGGTGAAATACCATCATTTGACTCCTTTATGTGTCATTACTTGTTGATTAGGATCAAATCGTGTTCAAGGCTTCACTTGAACATCCCGCATTTCTGTATCGATCCTTCATTCAAATCACCCGAGGTGAGTTCATACCCCACGCTTTTTCCGAGTTTTTCATGTTTTCAGGGGGGGAATACAAGCAAAAGTACAAGGAAACTCGTGCTCAAAATATATTATTTTGTTTAAGATAATCATATTTCAGTATGCTTTTAACACGGAAAACAGTTTTACCAACCGATTAAG